CTTGGTGGACCAAGACCATCGTATTTTTTAAACACTTTCACTGACATATAACTATAACATCATACTAATAAGCCCAGTCTGTGAATGCACCAGACCTAAATGACAAACTTGCATCAGCAACAGAGCATCCTCATTAAGTGAACGAAGCTACTGAAGAGAAATGTGGATTATAATTTTATTGTATGTTTATAGAGAGAAAAATAAGAATGATTAAAAACTCAGCTTTGGAAATTTAGGGTTTTATTAAAAAATGGAGGATTTTAATCCTTCCTAAAAACTGCGATTGCTTCATTTCTTAAGTCGTTCACCCTAAGTTCGTTCTTGTTTGTCCTTTCAAAGCTGGTCAGTTTTACCACCGCTTCACCCATTTCAAAACTTTTTGATAAGACTGACGCCTCCGTGACGTTAGCCCAGCAGACCAGAGCAAAGGTATTTCATTCAACTTCAGCCAAACCTGCAGAAACCCACAACTCCGCTGTTACCTCAGCCATGACGAATACTCGACAACCCTGTGGAGCGACTCCTTTGAGTTTCCATTTATTTGGACGGGACTTGAGGTTCTTCATTTCAGAAACCATCAAAGAGGTGATAAAAGAGATGGCAGAGAGGGTATGAGTTGAAACAGGTATTCCTAGATGAAGCCACTTTTGTTACTCAAGTGGAGGATGGTAAAGTGACAACAATACAAAACTCTCAAGGGGAAGCATCCATACAAACAACTAGATAAGCAGGCGTAAAGAGAACGAGACAAAAGGAGAGTCTAACATATGAGGCCATGAATCAAGGAGGGATAAATGGCCACCATTGTAAACAAGGTCAAAAGAAACATTCCACCAGTATTTCCAGTTCACTTCACAAGACACTTTAAGGATAGTTCACATAACTTCAGATACAACGAACCAACACGACAATCCTGCAGACTTTTAGATCTCTCTGCTGCTGTGCAAAACCAAACAAAAATAGACGAAAAAGTCTAGGTAAGTCAATAAATGTGCGCCAAAACTTACCACCTCATTGCAGAAAGCAGAGGTACATTTCGTTTTTTAAAAAAATCTGCAATTAAAAAAGAACTGCAGCACAGAAATCACAGCGTGCCG